ACAGAGAAACCCTGTCTTGAAAAACAAAAATGAAGAAGAGGAGGAGGAGGAAGAGAGAACTCTGCTGTGACAGCCCGTGATGTCTGAGGTGATGGAAAGTACCTGGAGGACTTAACTTCGTGACAAGGGGGTGAGGGATGGAAAATAGCTGGTAGTGGGGGCAGGGTCTGATTCTTCGGGGTCTTATTTACAATTGTGTGGGTATCAGGAAAGTCTTTTTTTATTACATTTTTTTATTTGTGTATGTGTGTGCTTGTGTGTACACATGTGTGCCTACGTGACACAGCTAGCGTACAACTTCCAGGAGCTGCTTCTCTCATTCTACCGTGTGGGTTCGGGGCTCAAACTCAGGTAGTTAGGCTTGGCAGCAGGCATCTTTCTCCACTAAGCCGTCCCTCCAACCCAAGAGTTTTCTCTTTTGTTTGTTGTATTTTGAAACGCAGTCTCGTTCTATAGCTCTGGCAGGCCTAGAACTCACTTCATGGTCCAGGCAAGGCAATCCCCCACCTCAGCCTTCTACATGCTAGGAATGCTGGCACATAGCAACACACCCACCCAGGGATGTTCTCATTCACGCCTTTCTCTCTGTCTTAAGATCCTGTCCCTCTGCCCCAACAGGAACCCAGATTGAAAAGACTACTTACCAAGGATGTAGAGTTCACCATCTGGGGATACTGAGGAAGGGAAATGAGAATGCCTTTAGCAACTGCACATCCCTGTCTCACATCATCCTCCATCCCCACCCACCCCTACAGTAAGGACAGAGATGACTGGGGTGAGGGGGCCCAGAGGAGAGTAATTCATACCACCCAGCCCGACTAGCACCTTCTTCCAGCATAAAATCTCTTGAGAGTGGCACTATCTGGTCCAGAGATACATCGTCTCCTGTGATGGCCATCCTCCGGTGTGTATACAGGAAGAGGCTGAGGGCAGAAAGCAGAAGAGGGTACACTTGGAGTGCTGGGATAATCTTTGTGTATGTAAAGATGTGTCTCTTCCTCACCCGCCTAAGCTGGTTTCATAAAGAGCTGAACGGTCAACAGCTAGGCAGGAAGAGGATAGGTGGGATCTCCGGGTAGAGATAGGAACCCTGGGAAAGAATCTGAGGTGGGAGATTCACCAGCCAGATGCAGAAGAAGTTGGATGTATGGTCCTGAGGAGAGGTAACAAGCCACGTGATAAAATGTAGATTAATATAAACAGGTTAACTTAAGTTTTAAGAACTAGTTGGAAACAAGCCTAAGCTAAGGCCAAGCTTTCATACTTAAAATAAGAAGTCTCCGTGTCATTATTCGGGAGCTGGCAGTCCAAAGAAAAGCCTGCAACGTTGGCGCGCTTGTAGCTGAAGGGGCTCTGGCAGGCCTTGCCCTTCCCCCATCCCCTCTGCCTTGCTAAGCCCTTAGATTACATTCTGAAAGCTAGCCACCATGGTCTTCTTTCTCTCTCTCTCTCTCTCTCTCTCTCTCAAGATTTATTTATTTATTTATTTATTTATTTATTTGTATGTATGTATGTATACAGTGTTCTGCCTATATGCATGCCTGCAGACCAAAAGAGGGCACCAGATCTTATTACGGATAGTTGTGAGCCACCATGTGGTTGCTGGGAATTGAACTCAGGACCTCTCGGATGAGCAGCCAGTGCTCTTAACTGCTGAGCCATCTGTCCAGCCCCCTCCCCACTTTTTGTCTATTCTCTTATTTAGCCACTTCCTCCCCCGAGGCTGACCACCAACGTCCAGCTATCAACAATCAAAAGCCCCATTTTGACTAACATGCCCAATCAAAATTAAACACTTCATCCTAATATGGGGTCTCCTTCTTTCCTTTATAAACTGCCATTTGCCTATGGTCCACATCTGTCTCCTCTCTACCCAGAGGCAGTCCTTTGTCCCTCTGGGGCAAATACCCCTTCCCCCTCTCCCTTGTTCCTGTCCTCTTCTCCCTCATCCTCTGTCTTCTGTCTTTGTCTCTTATTCCCTGCTCTTTGTCCCTCTGGGGCAAATACATCTCCTCTGTGCTGAGACCTTGGTCTTGGGGCGTCTTGTGCCAATACCAGTCCTTTTAGTGGCAGCCTAGGTCCCTAGTGCTTGGCTGGCAGTGCCCTAGCCACACTCATGCCTCAAGCCTTTTCCGTCCACGGTGCCCAGGAAAGCTGTAATTTATGGATGAGGTCATCAAAGCATAACTCCCCATAGTTGGAAGAAAAACCAATTTGGTGCCATCTAGCACGTGAGTGACAGGAATAGCGTGTCCTTACGAAGCCCCTTCATCGCCCTGTTCTTCAGTTTCCCCATCTACCAAGCTGTCTAAAGGCCCCTCCCTCTGGCTCTGAGACCCTGAGGTTCACTTACAAGCTACGAGACCTTTGCAGGTATTATTTCCTCCCTCTGCTCCTCCGGACTGTGCAGTGTTGCCAGGCAACACTGAATGAACACTTTTTTTTTTTTTTTCAAGACAGGCTCTCTCTACATAGCTCTGGCTGTCTTGGAACTCATTATGTAAACCAGGCTGGCCTCAAATTCACAGAGATCTGTCAGCCTCTGCCTCCCAAGTGCTAGGATTAAACCCTGCACCGCCACTCCCAGCCATTAATCGCTCTCTTTTTTCATTTTTAAATTTTTATTGTGTGTGGCATATGTGCTTGTTAGTGTGGGTGTGTACACACATAGACATGTGTGGTCATATTTGTATGCATATACATGTGTGGGCCACAGGGTGACCCTCAGAGGTCTTTCCTCAATCACTCTCCACTTTTTAAAATTGCTTTTTAGATTTATTTTTTTTATTTTATGTGTATGGGTGTTTTGCCTCCGTGTGTGTATGTATTATCATATGTCTGCATGCCTGCCTGGTGTTGGCAGAGGTCAGAAGAGGGTGTCAGAGTCTCTGGAACTGGAGTTATTGATGGTTGTGAGTCACCATGTAGGTGCTAGGGAATCAAACCAAGGTTCTCTGTGAGAGCAACACATGCTCTTAACCTCTAAGCCATCTCTCCAGCCCCTACATTTTTATTTTTGAGACAGAGTCTCTCAGTGAACCTGAAATTCGTGATTCAGCTAGACTAGCTAGCCAATGAGCTTCAGGGATCCGCCCGTCTCTCTACCTCCCCTAACTTCTTTAAGATTTATTTTCAGTTATGAATAGGTGTGTGTGTGTGTGTGTGTGTGTGTGTGTGTGTGTGTGTGCATGCCTCAAGTGTGCAGATGCCCATGGAGACCAGAAGAGGGCATCTGAACCCCTGGAGCTCGAGTTACAGGTAGCTGTGAGCTGCCCGATGTAGGTGCTGGGAACCAAATTTAGGCCCTCTACAAAAACAAGTGTTCTTATATTTTTGGTTGTGAGCCTAGCCTTTAACGGCTGAGCTATCCCTGAGTTCAAGGCCAGCCTGGCCTACCAAGTGAGTCCCAGGAAAGACACAAAACTACGCAGAGAAACCCTGTCTCGAAAAACAAAAAAAAAAAAACACAAAAAAACAAGTGTTCTTAACCACTTAACCATCTCTCACACCCCACACCCCAGCTTTTGGTATGGGTTCTGGAGATCCAAATTCAAGTCCTCATGCTTGTGTGGTACGCACTTCAATAACTGAACCCATCTCCAGCTCTCTCTCTTTAAACATTTATTTTATTTTTTAACTCTGTCTCTGTCTCTCTGTCTCTGTCTGTCTCTGTCTGTCTGTCTCTCTCTCTCTCTCTCTCTCTCTCTCTGTGTGTGTGTGTGTGTGTGTGTGTGTGCATGCACACTGGTGAGTGCAAGTGCCCACAGAGTCCAGAAGAGGGTTCAGATCCGCTGGATTGGAGTCATAGGGGTTGTGAGCCACTGGATGTGGGTGTGGGTACTGGGAACCAGATTCGGATCCTCTGCAAGAGCAGTACACATTCTAACCACTCAACAATCTCTTCAGCCCTGTCTCCTCTCTTTTTGAGACAGGCTCTCACTCTGTTAGCTCAGGATGGCCTGGAACTTGTGACAGTCCTGCCTCAGCTTCCTGAGTGCTGGGATCACTGGTGCCAGCTCCCATTTCCAGTTCAGCCTTCTAATCTTTACTCAGGATCAACGAAGCTATGAAGAACATTTTGCTTAGAATCACAGCGTCTGGATCTGAACTCAAGCACTCACACAAGCTCAAAATCTAGCCGGGTGTGATAACTGCCTATTCTCTAGAAGCTTCCATGTCACATCTTGCTGATTATAAAGGGCTTAGCACATGGTGTTCCAAGAATACTATCATTATGTTAATGATTCTAGGAGACTCAGACGGGATGACTGAAGTCAAGTTGGAGGATAGCGAAGAACAACCCTTGACCCACACAGGTAGTCTGAGCCCCACTTACGCATGCTCCTGAGCGTCATTTTCCAGCCGGTACCGCACCAGCCCCAGCAGACGGCTCTGCCTGCTGTCTCCCGTACATAGCACACCTTGTACAGCCTGCTGCTCCGAGTGAAGGGAAACTGAAAGCCAAGAACAAGCCTCCCCATCCGACCCACGCCACCACTGCGGCCTTTCTCCCTCCCCGCTCACTGTGTGACCTCAGGCCAATTACTTCACCTCTCTGAGGTTTCCTCATCTGCAAAATGGGTATAATAGTCCCCAACTTCGCAGCTTGTTGGGAGAATATCTGAATATTTAAAGCACCTAGTAGAGAAACCAGAGCCAAGTGAATTCTTAGTAAATACTGGTTTACCTATTACCACATGGCTTAGAGAGAAAGAGGAGGGAAATTTCCACACCCTCCATCCCACTTCCCAAGGCCAAGGTGGGCATGAGCTGGGAAGGATATGATGGTGCAGTATTCCCCCTCAGCCAGCGTCTCCTGAATCGCCACAGACTGGTCCATAATGAGCCGTCAAAGTCTGGTGTAGGGCAGGTGGGAACCTCCCATGCTGTAATAGAGCTGCTTCAGGGGGCTGTGGGGATGGAAGGAGGGGTCTTTTAGAGGGAAAAGAGCGGGCCTAATCATCCTGCTTCTCCTCCGGGTCCTCCCCTCTTTCCTACAATGGGCCTCTCTACGTTTCCAGGGAATGGGTTTCCGCTCCTTTGCCCCTGGCTGGATCTCCCTTCGGGAGGGAAACCAGATGTTCCCAGTGGCGTCCAGTATAATTGCTGCCCCCCTTGCTTCTGAACATAGCTCTGACTCCCTCTTCAGGGAGCAGTTGTGGTCCATCTGGCGCTTCCCTGGTTAAGATTGGTAGCATGTCCACCTAGGGATGGGAGACAGACTTCTCCTTATTCTCAGCTAGGAGGGTCTTGTACTGGAGAAATAACCCAGTCCCGCTCCTTTTTTCCTTGGAGCATGGAAAAGTGTCCCATTGCTCCTTGCCCCCGCCCCACCCGGCAGGCCCCGTTGCATCAGCTGCAGGCCGGGGGTGTCCATTCTGGCACCCACAGGATAGGAGCCCCAGCAGCCAGTTTGCAAGCCCCCTCCAACTCTACACCTATTTCGGACCCTTGTCATTGCTGCCTACCTCCCGAGCTGTCACCGCTGGGCCCACGGGACACCGATGTCCCGGACCAGGCCAAGGACTACATTTCCCAGCGGCCCTGGCGTCACAAGATGGTAAGCCAGCCTGCAAGTCCCAGCATGCCCAAGTCAATCATGGGCAAGTGGGTAGGTCTCCCCGCCCCTATGAGGCTCTAGAATCTCGAGTCTGGCGTCTTAGCATACTCTAGTGTCCCAGTTCTGGAAAGGCTGTCTGAGGAACGCCTTTCTCAGCCCACCAAATCAAAGGGCCTGGGCTTCTGCCCTAGGCGGAAGGAAGATGGTCACGTTACCCTAACGGAAAGAATGTTTTAGCTTTTATTTTCGAGTTAATTCCATCCTCAGCTCTTCACGTGTTTTAATACTCTCCCGAAACTCTTCCAAATAACTACCCTGCCTTGGCTTAATGGGATAAGATTATGAAACACCACCTTTTCCTGTCTCCAGACGGAGAAACAAGCAGACACAGAAGTGAAGCTGTTTAACAGAGTCTGCGGCCAACAAGTGCAGGGGGCTCAGAGGAAAGTCTGAGTACAACTCCTGTGTCATTTCCCAGCTGGGGACTGCCAAGTGTCCTTCAGGCCCATCTAGCTCTTCTGTCCACCGACAGAACATGAAGTGTGTGGCGGTGATGACTATCACCGGGCGATGTGGAGGACACTATTCCTAGGGTGAAGGAGGATGTAGCCCTCTTGGCTCTTTATTATTTTTTTTTTAAGATTTGTTCAGTTATTTTTTAATTTATGTGTATGTGTGTGTGCTTGCACGAGTTTGTGTACACCGTGTGTGTGTGTGTGTGTGTGTGTGTGTGTGTGTGTGTGTGTGTGTGTGCAGGCGCCCAAGGAGTCCAGAGATCTTCAGATCCTCAGAGCTGGTTACAGGAGGTTGTGAGCCACCTGATGTGTGTGTAGGGAATTGTACCTGGTCCTCCGGAAGAGCAGTAAGTGCCCTTAACTACAGAGCCATCTCATACCTGCCCGTCACCCAGGTCTTTAGATAGCCCTAGCAAGGTTTTGTTCTCAGGCCCCTTTCCCACATTCTATTGGCTTCTACGGGACCATTCTCCTCTGGGCTTCATTGTTCTCATTTAGGTTAAGAATATAGCTCAATGCTAGGCAGTGGTGGTGCACACCTTTAATTCCAGCACTCAGGAGGCAGAGGCAAATGGATCTCTGAGTTCGAGGCCAGCCTGGTCTACAGAGCAAGTTCCAGGACAGCCAGAGCTACATAGAGAAACCCTGTCTCAAAAGATAAAACAGCCAACAAACAAACAAACAAACAAACAAACAAAAATTATAGCTCAAGACAGAGGACAAAAGAAACTAGCTCAGATGGAAGATTCTAGAATGGTTTTGTCTCAACTGTTGGCTATTTCAGTAAGCTGGATGTTCCCTGAGGACCAGGCTGAGTCTTGCCCTTGCTGCTCTGGCATAGCAGCTCTGAGAATTTCATTTATTTATTTTGAGCAGTACTGAGGGTGGAACCTGGGAACCAGGCATTAAATACTCTACCACTGAGCCACCTCTCCAGCCCAGAACATACGCACTGAATGAATTACTCAATAAATTAGCTTACTGAATACATTGCATTTCGACTTTGCCCCATAGGAAAGGAACAGCAGCAGGTGGGCTAGTGCTGGAGAAGGAATGGCCACTGTGACTTTTCGCCGCTGTTGTTTTGAGACAGGGCCTCACTATTTAGTCCAGGCTGGTCTAGAGTTTGCCTCAAACTCTTAATTCTCCTGTTTCAGGTTTCTGGTATTACAATGGGTGTCCGTTGTAATTTTTAAAAATAATTTTTTTATTTTTTACACATATTTACTGTCTGTATACACACACACACACACACACACACACACACACACACACACACACACACCGCACCATGTGTGTTGTTTGTGGAGGTCAGAGAACAACTTGTGAGAGGTGGTTCTTTTTTTTTTTTTTTTTGGTTTT